CAGTTATATATATATAAATATATACATACATACATATATATATGTATATATATATATACTATATATGCTACATATACTATATATACTATATATACTATATTACATGGACTATCAGTATTTATATACACTAACATTTACAGTTACAAACGCTTTTGTTACAGGCGGGAAGTATTACCACCACCTTAACGGGTCAGTATCTAATGGACGGTCTTGTGCACTTGCGATTGGCCTCGTGGAAGCGTTCGATCATGACGCGTAGTATGGCTATCATTCCGGCTGTCATCGTAACCGGCATCAACAGCTCAACGGAAGCAACTAATGTTGGTGAGTGATTACTGGACCTACACACGCATTGGCGTGTGGGTAATTTATTGCATAGTGTGAATGTTACTTTCTGAATTCTATCGGTCGTGTATGGTGAGTGTAAATTGTTGCAGAATATATCCAAAACCCTAAAAAACCCCTTGTTGCAAAATATGTATGTCGGGTACTATATTTGCTCGCAGGTTCTCTTTATAGCACAGTATTTAGCAACGGTGTTCTGGTTCGCCGTCATTGCGTATGGTATCGTAACTGTCAGTATAGTAATATTTCTAATCATGACAGCAGCGCAACCTATAACTTAATACACAATGCACATGTATATCTCTAAGTTGTATGCTACACATACATATATGCCTTAGTTATCACTACCTGGTATGCAAGCTAGGGTTGATAGACAGGTGCTCATGAGATTTACAAACATATATACATCCTATCATATATGCATCCCAAGTACGCGTAAACGTACTCGGTTACCCAATTCAATATCTAATAGAGGACGCATGTGCAAGCAATCTCATCATCCTCTCGATTATCGTATCGAGTACTAAACGAATTAAGCACTAAACCCTAAATATATTCACCACAACCCTACAGTGATTGGAATTGTGAATGCTGTGCTGGCCATTATGTTGCCGGTATTCTTGCTCCCGCTTATCAGGTATGCTTTGCATTCTCTCGTGTGTAATGTGATCGGCTCTGTCAGTGATATATATCTATATATACACACATTTATACCTGTATGTATATTGTATGTATATTATATATATATATATATATATATATACGCATGCATGTATATGTATATGTGTATGAGTGTATACGTAATATCATAGACACGTGTATGGCGTACTCCCCCTTCCCTCTTCTTACTGGCCATAGGCACAGTAGGAACATGCCCTGCTTCACTGAATGAATTCTCCCGTAATTGCACATGGGCATGATTCATAGACTTGTATGGCCCATACCTACAATACACATCAAAAAGTACTTGCATTGATTAAACTACAGGTGTACTACTAACAGTACTGGTACACATGCAGTACTGAAGTCTCTCCTGCGCAGATCGGTTTTAATCGCTATCTTCTGCGCGCACCGTCTGGAAGGAGATTCCCCGTTGCGAAAGACGCTTGACACCCTTGTTACTATACCAACACGCACACGCACATGTTTCTTCGAATGCCTATGTACATATGCAGGTTCTGTAGTTCGGTTAGGTACATGGGAAACAATCGCATACCCTTCTACTGGGAGGTGATCATGATCCTTTTTGCCCTGTTTGTCACAGTCTTTGCGCTGATGTCATTCGTCGCTGTAGATGGAGGTGAGTATTAAATTGTTTTCAATACAATTATTGGTTATAAGACTGTGTTGCAACCGCAATTCTATGGTCGAAGTGTGTACTATACTGATATCAGGACTGTTTTAATCAGAAGTTTCGGTGGACTTGTATGCATTATCGCAGTGTTGGCTATGTTTGGGAGCCGTTATATAGGCAATGCTAGAGCACATATCCCTCAATCGTGGTGTGATAAATTGCTATATATGTATATATATACACACACACACATATATATATATATTTATACACACACACACATATATATATATATTTAT